TAGTTAGAATTTACCCATCAGAAATCAATATTCAATTTCTTCTCTATGTTAAGAAAGTTGGTCTTTAATGAAGGAAAGCTATTGTCCTTGTGTGAAATGAATCTCTGTCCCCACATTTCATACACACCAACATCACTACCACCACATCACCCCACATGCCAGGATAGGCTTTTGTAGAGATCAAAGTTGGTATAATTTTTATGCAAAAGCCTAATTAAGAGTTTGGCCCTGTTCAAATGGTAAGAGAAGCTCCTCTCCTGGACCATCTTCCTGATCATATGTGGTAGACTGAAGATCCCAATTCTTCATTTCCCAGCAAGAGTATCACATGTCCATATATTACCATGGCCTCATTATAGCCAGAGGGTACTTCACTACTCCTTGTCTTTGGTCTTGGCCAAATAGGATGTCAGAGAAACAAGAATCTGAAAATGGCTGGTGGGACTGGGCTTGTCCTAATTCTGCCATTGCCATGAAACAAGCTTTCCCCAGAGAGATGTTACCCTTCCCTCCAGCCTGGGCCCAAGAATGAGACAAATGGAGCAGAATAAATGCTTATTGTTGTATCTCACTATGATTTTGTGGTTACCAGCTATTATGCAGCAAAAGCTGACTGAATCACAATATTTTAAAAATCCAAACAATCAAGACTGATTATGTAAATCAGTGGTCCTCAAACTTGCCTAAGGGAGAATCTTTCAGGTTTCCAAGTTTAAAAAAAATATAGGTCCCAGAGAGATCCTTTCAGTACATCTAGACTGATGATGGGGCACCTAGGTGGCGCAGTCAGTTGAGTGTCTGACTCCTGGCTTTGGCTCAGGCTGTGATCTCATGGTCATGAGATAGAGCCCTGCATCTGGCTCTGCACGCAGCACGGAGTCTGCTTAAGACTCTCTCTCCTTCTCCATCTGTTCCTCCTGCTCATGCTCTCTCTCTCAAATAAATCAATCTTAAAAAAAAAAAAAACCAGGCTTCTGGGTGGCTCAGTCAATTAAGCATCTGCCTTCGCCTCAGGTCATGATCCCAGGGTCCTGGGATGAAGCCCTGCATCTGGCTCTCTGCTCAGTGGGGAGTCTGCTTCGCCCTCTCCCTCTGCCTGCCACTCCCCCTGCTTGTGCGGGCATTCTCTCCCTCTCTCTCTCTGTTGAATAAATAAATAAATAAAAATCCTAAAAAAAAAAAAAAATCCACAGGTGACCTGTTGCAGTGCCCACATGTTAAGAAATACAAAAATAAAGATTACTAAATTTTCAGTTCCCCAACAATATTTATTAACTTCAGTACTCAAGAACCCTAACTAAACAGATGAATTTTCCTTTAGACAAATTTGTATTCCCAAAGAGATGTAAAACTGAAATCTAATCAAGGGAAGTGCACCTGGCTGGCTCAGTCAGCAGAGCATGCAACTCTTGACCTCAAGGCTGTGAGTTCAAGCCCCACAGTTTACTTTAAAAAAAAAAAGAAGAAGAAGAAAGAAATCTAATCAAGTGGATATTTCAAATGCAGGAAGATTCAACTGACAATGAAGTCAGTCCAGCCATTAGACACATCTGAGCCAGCCAAGGAGGAGAACTATGATGTGATGCAGAATCCCAAGGTCCTTCAGATGCTCTGGAGAACCTTCCAGGAATGAATCCCAACAAGGGGGCTATTCGAAATGTCACGGGCTCCCCGGCCTCCCAGGCCACCAAGGATGGCAAGAAGGACAAGAAGGAGGAGGACAAGAAGACTGGAGGAAAGGGTAGCTGAGCCTGCTCAAAGGCCTGCACAGAATAGGGTGGGATATGGGGTTACATATGTTATCTGTAGCCATTACAATCTAAATAAAGAGTGACAACTTTTTTTCCAAAAAAATTTTTTTAACAGCTGATTCTGCAATAAGTATTGCATTGTATTATATCCTTTTATTAAAATTAAGAATTCATTTATAACCAAACAAGCACATTATATTTTCTATAAATCCCAATTTTTTGCATACAAAATGTTCTTAGAATTAAGGAATCCAAGAACTAGATAAAGTGGGAGAGAGGGAGTCAAAAGAAATAAAGGATTTATCCATGGTCCCCAAGAGGGATGTGATAACAACCAGTCTTCCAGTATTTCTTTCCTATCAGCAACACTATTTGCACCTACCTGGTTACATCACTGCATCTATGTATCCCAAGTCCACACAGGCTCTCTCTAGTCACCCTGCACCTAATGAAATTGTACTAGCCACTCCAATATTAGGGAAAGTTTTACACATTTAGAACCATGACATCTGCACAACCAGTGCTGAATGATGATCCTGTCAAGTGTCCCTACTTACTTTCCAAAAGCTAATCTAGTGAAGGCACTACTCTATCTTACGTTCCCAATTAGAGTGAGCTGTTGTTACCATTAATGTGATAGGTAAGAGTGCAGGCTATAATCCTGGCTCCACAATTTACTCTGTTGGTGAGTGATCTAAATTCTCTGTACTTCACTTGCCCTCTCTGTAAAAGGAACATAATTAAACCTAGAATACAGAATTGTCATGAGGATCAAATGAGAAAATACATGTAAAGCTATTAGAATAGTTGCTGGCACAGAGCAAGCACTCAATAAACACTAGCTATTACTATTATTGTTATAGTTCTGAAATCCAGCTTCACAAATTTTGGCATCTGGTAGTATATGTAATACTAAAGAAAAAAAAGAAGACTAATACCACTTTAAGTAGTGATTCTTTCAATCCCTCCGTTTTAAAGGACATTATTCTATTTTATTTACCAAATTCAAATTAAATGTATTTTTAAATCAATGTTCTTTCCCTTACTATTATCAGTTCTGATCACAAAATGATAAGCCTGTAACTATAAATGAGAATCTACATTCTAAAAAGGTTAAGAATAACAAAGAACAATGCAAAGTCTGTGTTCTGAGATTTCTGCTCATAGAATGACTGCTTAAGCCTAAAGCCTTTTACTCTCTTCATATTTTACAGGAATCACAAGACTTACAGCTAGAGAATTTAAATAGCTAACACACTACAAAGAAACCTAGAAAAAATTGTTCATTTTTATCCCAAAAGGAATTGTGATGTTTAAGAATATTGAAATGCCAGTTTCAAAATACATTCAATTCAGAAGTTCGAATTCTTTTAATACTACATAGATTTATCACAAAGATAATAGACAATAATCAGCCAATATCAAAGGCACTAAAGGAAACTTCAAATTTTCTTTCAGAATTTTCCCAATGTATAGTTTTAAGGAAATAAGCAAACTCTGTGTCTAGCATAGCAATGAGAAATTTATTGAATGTGAAAAGTACACACTTGTATAAATTTAAAAAGTAATTGGAAAGCTGTTATATTGTCCTTTACTCATTTTTAAATGCATAATCTATTTGGCCATCCTATACCAAACTTAATAATTATAGGTACAGTTCACTCCCAAAAATTTCTAAAAGCTTATCACAAAAAGACTGCTTGGAAAAATAACTGTAAACAGAAATGAGGATTTCTCTAAGGTGTCTGGGAACTAAAAAGAAAATATCCTAAGGAAAGGATGACTACCATTTCCCTTTAAGCTTAGTAAAATGTCAAAGAACTTTCAGGACTCAAATATGCTAGACGTCTGATGTGAGGTCAAAGTTGTCTCAATGACAGGAAAGCCAACAGATACCAGATGACTAAAATATAAAGTTATCGAAAATACTTTCAAGCCCAACAGTAATTCCAAAAGCATATAAAATACGAGTGTATTTATGTTGAAAACATGGAAATATAATTGCCAAAATACTTTGGAACAAAATAATACTAACGACAATAATTAACAGTATTATACAAAGTATTAAGAATCTCAAAGTTCTGGCTTCCTCAACATTTACCCAATTCATTCGGTAACATTTCGGAATAATGAAAGTAACATGGATTCCCAAAGAATGATCTAAATCTAAATATAAGGTTAAAGTGTGTGTTCTATAGTTGATGTTCTTTTTACTGTAAGCCAAATCAGCTTCTTTACGTTAAAAAACAAAAAATCTACAGCTCTGTTTCCAAAGATCTCATAATAGACACTGTTCATTGGCGATTAAAATATTATTTTTAATCCTTGCATTACCTCACAGCTAAAAATGTCAAGATACCACACCCAATATGTCTTTCCCCCCCCCCGTGGGGGATGGGGAGGGGGGATATGGGAGTAGGGATTCGAAACTACACAAAAACAGGCAGGGTTATTTCCCTAGAAGGAACGGGAAAGGCGCGCAGGTACCGGACACGGTTCCCCCCACAGCGATCGCGGGACGCGTCGCGAAGGGCGAGCGCAGGCCTCGGCCTCTGCGGGCTCCCTCGCCCGCCACCCGCTGGGGTAGTGGCCCGACGCGCCGCCCGGGGCTACTCACCGGCCGCAGTGCTGACCAGCAGGACGGTCCACAGGAGCGACGGCACCCACCGGGGCCGCTGCAGCGAAGAAGGCATCCCTGGGCCAGCCGAGAAGCAGCAAGCAGAGAAAAGAAATACGGAAAGTAAACACGGGCGGAGAGGTACGGCCGGGAGGCTGGTCCTCGCTCTCGTCTGACTTGTCCGGCCCGTAGGTATTACAATGCAGTTTGAAAGGACAAATGGCAGATGAGAGGACCTAGCTGCAGAGCTTTCATTCCGCTGCAGAAATTCCCTTCATTTCTCTCCCTCGCGGCTGGAGAGGTTCATTCGCCTAGGACGGGGTGCCTCGGCCACCCAAACTGAAGGCATGTCCGTGTGGAAAAGCAGGGAGAGAGGAAGAGAAAGCCCAGCAGTTATTTCCCTCGTAGTTTCACAATGTCAAAAAAATATCCAGGTCTGGGAGAAAACATATCCAGGGTGCAGGGGGGTGGAGAGCGGGGATTCGATGGCGGGGCTCAGGATCAGAACAAGTTCCCGACCGCCGCGAAGGGCGAAGCCGGGCGGGCGGCGGGGGCGCCCGGCGGCACGAGTCGCATCGCCCGTGGCTCCGGGAGGGCAGGATTCCTTTTTAAGTTTCGCTTCGGTGCTTCCTTCAGTCGGATTTCGAGAACAAACCCCGTTCCTCGACTGAATCGAAAAAGGTGCCTGCCTCCATGGACAAACCCACAGAGCCTTCAAGCCTTCGCCGAACAATCCTGCGAGGTATTGCCAGGGCCCGGCCGGAGGGCTGAGGGGCAGTAGGAAGCGGGGGAGGGGAAGGGTCAGCAGGCAAGGCTCCGAGCTCCCCGAGACGGCGGGCGGAGAGGAGCTGCGGGGAGCTGCCCTTTCCAGCCCTCCCGGATTCGCTCCTCTCGCTCTCTTTTTTATTGCGGCCGCTCGATCTTGCCTGAGGTAAATTCCACGAAGAAAAGCCTCGTCTTCTCCCGTCAATGGCTCCTGTGAGCGAATCACAACCCCCCCGAGGAAGCCGCTGCCGCTGCCGCCGCCGCCGCCGCCTCGTTCTCCCGCAGCTCTGGGCTCCGGGCGGAGCTCGGGCGTCGCGGGCCGAGGGCGGGGGGCGGCGGGAAGGCGGAGGTAGGTGGCTGGCTGAGGAGGGGGGTGGGCGACGGCGCGGCGAGACACCCCGCACCCCTCCGGGAAGCACTTCCAGTGGCTCCGAGCAGACCAGACACAAAGGGGGGAGTCGCCGCAGCTGCCAGTCTGCGGCGCTCCCGGTCACCGGAGTCGCCCCGCCTCCGCCGCCGCCTCCGCCTCCTCCTCAGTCTCCGGCTCTTCCCGGCCCTGTCTGTCTCGGGCCTGTGGTGCAGCGCGGGCGGCGGCGGCGGCGGCAGTGGCGGCGGCGCGAGGAAGCCCGCACTGCGCCTGCGCGCTCGCGGCCCCGCCCGGCCCCGCCCCTCGCTCCCGGGCTAGCTGAGACGGACTCCGCGGCCCTCGCTTGGCTTGTCTCTCCCCGGCCGCCGAGGGCGGGGTGGGGCCGGCAGCCCGCAGTGGGCAGCAATGGCCTTTCTCCTTCACACATGTAAACCTTCCATACGTGCACTCTCGGGATCTGTGTATGTGTTTAAGAGAGAGCGGCCACATCTTTTGTCCAGCCTTGGCAAACTCCTCTGAGCTGGGTGATTTAGCCTCGGACTGAGGTGTCGCGGTCTCCTCCGGGACTCCTGGAGTAAAGCCTTGAGGGGCGGAACTGCCCTCGTTGTTTCTTGGGGCCGGAGCCTACCTCTCCGTATCCCAAAGAATCCAGAAGAACCCTCCTTTCCCAGAACTGTAGACCTTGGCCTCCTCGGGCCCCCTTCACTGACTCAAACAAAAGCCGGAATTGGAAAGACCAGCCTAAATGTATATTTTTGCTCTTATCGGTGTACTGCTTCTCTCAAGCGCCCATTACCGTAGCCCTTCTTAGCTTACATATTGGACATTTGAAAGGATGCGAAGTCAGAAAGAAAACTCTTCTTTAAATTCCATACATTGTCCCGCTGTGTATGCGTCTCTGTCTTTGCCGCGCGGTTTCCACTTCGAGGGTGGGCCTTTATTCACAAAGGCTGTGGGCCTTAGGGGCTTTTTAGGACACGTGAAAGGAAAATTGCGGTGAGGAGTTGCTGCCCCAGAGTAAAGAATGACACGCACCCAAGGAAATGAAAAGGTCCTGTTGGCACCAAAGCTTCCTGGAAAGGATCTGTTTAGTCGGTTTTTTGAATTGCAAAAAACCCAAGCAACCAGGATAGGAGAAGGAATTCCTCCCTCCCCCACCCCCCCACCCCCGGCCCTGCAGGCTTTGCACACCTCCTGCGGGATCAGGTCGACTTGGGTGGGATTTTGCTGGGGAAAAAGGGAGAAAGTGACGTGCGTGGCGCCATGATCAGAAGTCTGTGTTTAATTCTTAGCTGCCAGGTAGAAAATTTGCGTGGAAGGGCGATCTTAGAGGTGAAGTCTAGCCTTCCCTCTAATAAGAAGAACGGCTATTCTAAAGGCTGGTTTGGCTGGTCTCTCATTGTGGGTAAGGTCAGTTCCAAAGACACATTCATACAAACACTCCTGAAGTCATACCCTTTATTTTCGTATTCAAGTCCCCTTTTATCTCTTTATCTGAACTTGATGTAAATAAACCTCCACATTCCTTAAACTAGTTGCTGTTATCATACTAAATATCTAGTATAATTACAGATTTTGATAATACCAACCCAGGATTCTCAGACTCTTTTTAGTGGAAATATTTTTATACTGTTTACCCTTCAGGCAGGAAGAAATATTTCTATATAGTAAAATCCCTTAAAAAGAAAAAAATTAGGAGCGCCTGGATGGCTCAGTCATTAAGCGTCTGCCTTCGGCTCAGGTCATGATCCCAGGGTCCTAGGATTGAGCCCCACCATCGGGCTCCCTGCTCGGGGGGGGAAGCCTGTTTCTCCCTCTCCCACTCCCCCTGCTTGTGTTCCCTCTCTCGCTGTGTCTCTCTCTGTCAAATAAATAAATAAAATTTTAAAAAAAGAAAGAAAGAAATTAGAAGGAGCTTTGATTCATTACTTTATTACTATATTTTCTTTGCCCAAAAGGCCTAAAATAAGAAACTGGTATTGTTTTGCCATTTGACTTTCAAGACATAAGATCTAGCACTCAGAGAAATGAGATTTTAGTAAGTTAGAGATGCAGAAAGTTTATTAACTAGCAGTATACTGTTCTTTCTCAAATTGGGATTAAGTACTTGGTTATTCTATTTTTATTTGCATAAAAATTTTCATAAGAAACATTAAGTACCCTTATACATATTATAAATGTATGGTAAAATATATATAAAAAAGAAGAAGAAGAAAGGAGCCTAGGAAATTCACATGAAAAAAATATATGCCACTGACTTGGTAGGAATAATTAGCAGACAACTAGATAGGCAACCCTTTTCCCTTTTCTGTTGCTCCTTGTAATATCTCAGTTGGAACATGGCTTTTCACTCACTATGAGAAAGACCATCAGAGAAGAATGAGAACTGGGCCATCAATATGTCCACGAAGACCAGACAGACAATACAAGTCAAGCTCAAGTGAAAACAAAGGATTGGCAGGGCAGGCAAGGTTTGTATCTGCATTAGTCAGAATAGGCTAGATTGTAACAAACATCTCAGCAGCTTATAGCAACAAAAGTTTTATTTCTCACACATGTTACATGTTTGATACAGGTCATCAGGAAGCCCATTACAAGTAGGATTCATTTGGGAAACAGACCCTGAAACTGAGATTTGCATTCAGGAGGTTATTAGGTAGTGCTCTCAAGAACAACTTCTGGAGACTGAGGGTCACAAAATCACTAGAAAAGATGAACCTGAACTATAATACAGTTGCAGCTGAGGCTTCAGCCAGTTCTGCAGGGAACTTGGAGCTGGGTTGGCCCTTCAGCATTGTCCTAAATTGGGACAGGAGGCCTGATCATTATACCCTCCCACCAACCTGTCATTGGATATGGACCGCACCCAGGGAAGGAAGGTGACCCTTGGATGAGAGGATTCTCTTTAGCCAAGACCAACTCTCAGAGGGGAACCCAGCTGAAAGCTCTCAGCCACCAGCCCTTCTAGCTGTTGGGAGAGGTTGTGCTTTAGTCAGAAGGGGTGGATCTGGGGAGCTCAGTACAATATCCATTACATGGATTCTGCTCATTTTAGTCACTGAGGTAACCAGATTTTTGGAGGCTTCACGGGAGATACATGCTTTCAAGATTCCTACAGTTAGGAGAGCACCTGGCTGGCTCAGTCAGTAGATCATGTGACTCTTGATGTTGGGGTCTTGAGTTCAAGCCCCATGTTAGGTGTAGAGCCTTAAAAAAAAGAGAGAGAGAGAAAAGATTGCTACAGTAAGGCTCATAAAATTTATTTACTAGTACTGCAGTGTTTTTGCTCTAACCATTAAAATGCTTCCACTCAGAAGCAATACACCTCACTTCCAATCACATTTTATCGGCCAAAGAAGTCACCTGGCCAAACCTAACTTCAAGAGAAATGTAATACTATATCATGTTACTAGAAGAAGAACATAAAATTTGATAACAGCCTTAATACTACCGTCATGTGCAAGGGGGAAATAATCATCAGTACTCTAATCACCAAAAGCCTATGTAGGATAGGAGGGTTTTCTAACATAAGGGGAAAACTCTGGCATAAGAAATCAAGAAATGAAGGGAGCAACACAGAAATCCAAGGGGACCAACAGTATCTGTGAGACTGATGGATCTTCACTCTGTATTACGGCCCCTCATGGATTATAGCTTTCCTCTGAGATAGAAGACTTGTAAAAGGAAAGCTCTGGTTTTAGGAGGGGTCTGGGGAAACTAAGCAAATTATTAGGACAAGCATTAGAATAAGGACATAGGCAGAATCCCTATTATATGAATAAGGACAAATAGGAGTTACCTAAGCTCAAAGATACTGAATACTTCTAAGAACAAACTTTATCATTATAAAGGGATGCTGTCAAATGAAAAATAGAAGAAAAACTCTTAACTCTAGAAGAAAAATAATACAGATGCCCAGAAGTTAGCTCTGGGACACACTACAGGGTCAAAATAATGAAAGGCAACTTGAAGCTGCTTAGAAACTTCAGGACTTAATCTTTAGGACTAAACTGAGGAATGGGACATGGCATGGTCTCCTTTTAGAAGATTAAGGTGTAGTTGTGGGGAGAGGGGAAAACCCAACTGTGCAGTAAAAGAAAAATGAGATAGGAAATTGACAATTGCCTCCCCTTGATAACCTCTGGACCTAAAAGCAACCTTAAATTTCTCCCTTTCTAAAATAAGAAAAGCTTAGGGGCACCTTGGTGGCACAGTCCGTTGGGTGTTCCGCTCAGGTCATGATCTTGAGGTTATGAGATCCAGCCCCTGTTGGACTCTGTGCTCAGCGCAGAGTCGGCTTGGGATTCTCTCTCCCTCTGCACCCTGGCCCCCTAAAATAAATAAATAAGTCTTTAAAAAAGGGAAAAAAAATAAAATAAGAAAAGCTTAGGGGCGCCTGGGTGGCTCAGTCGTTAAGTATCTGCCTTCGGCTCAGGTCATGATCCCAGGGTCCTGGAATCGAGCCCCACATCGGGCTCCCGGCTCCGCGAGAGGCCTGCTTCTCCCTCTCCCACTCTCCCTGCTTGTGTTCCCTCTCTTGCTGTGTCTGTCTCTGTCAAATAAATAAAATCTTTAAAAAAATTTTTTTAAATGAAAGATTAAAAATAATAATAATAAAGCTTTGCTTTTGGAACCTAGATCTATTGTCCCATTTCTTTCCTTCTCCTTTTGTCTAACTTTTGAAATTTTGGTTAGCCAGCATCTGGAGTCACCCTTCCCTTTCCTTCCATTTAAAACAAAATAAAATCATCTGAGCTTCCTATCCTGAGTGAATAACAGCAAGAGAACCAGCTTCTCCCCAAGCATTGAAAGATCCCAGAGGAAGACCTATATTTTCCACAAGTTTACCTGATTTGCTCTGGACTTCTCTACTGATATCTTGTAAGAACTTTTCCTTCCTGATGCCAGACACTGAGCTCTGACACTTTATTTATTTTCGAAGCTACCCTAAAATATGGTAAAATTTTTACTAAGACTTAGACTTTGGAAGAAGCAGGAGGAGGAGGAGGAAAAATATAGTTGACACTTGAGCAATGCAGGAGTTAGGGGCCCCAATCTCCATGCAGTTGAAAATTCACATATAACTTTTTTTTTTGCATATAACTTTTGACTTCCCCCCCCAAACTTAAATACTAATGGCCTACTGTTTGACTAGAAGCCTTATCGATACCATAAAGAGTCAATTAACACATATTTTGTATGATATATGTATTATATACTTATTCGCACAGTAAAATAAGCTAGAGAAAAGAAAATGTTATTAAGAAAATCACAAGGGGGCGCCTGGGTAGCTCGGTCAGTTGGGCATCTGCCTTTGGCTTGGGTCATGATCCCAGGGTCCTGGAATCAAACCCCACGGTGGGCTCTCTGCTCAGCAGGGAGCCTGCTTCTCCCTCTCCCACTTCCCCTGCTTGTGTTCCCTCTCTCGCTGTGTCTCTGTCAAATAAATAAATAAAATCTTAAAAGAAAAGAAAATCACAAGGAAGATG